ATAATAGAATAAAAGGAAAAAAATAGATATACATTTAAGTACATATTTAAAATTTTTTTTAAAAATGCACTTGCACTATAAAATTGGTTACTGCGGCACTGGTGGGCGGTAAGAAAGTTTTACCATCAACAAAGATACAAAAGTGGGCAGTAGGTATTAAAAGGTTGATTACCCCTGGTGTAGACAGAAGGTATAAGAGTTATGAGAATTGTCTTAAATTATGAAGATTACTGCATCTAACAGTGGGTAAGAAGACAAAAGGTTTGAGGATTCCTAAAATGTTAAAGAATATAGAAGACCCAAATGGATATGATTGGATGGTTTAGTCAGTCCCCTGAAATGCAATAAATGGAGAGGATTACCCTGCTAAAAAATAGGGTTCCCAATTAGAGATGCATAATTAGATCTAATCTTATTGTTTCGATAACCGAGCCCTTATACGTTCTAAGTATTCTCAATTGTGATATGGCAAATATAAGATTAAGTATTTTAATAAAATTCCCAACTTTAATGCAAGTGAGAATATCCAATTGTATTAAAATATAATGAAGAAAGCATTGCCTATCTTTAAAATGTTTACCATTATACCTTGTGATGTATTATTCTTCACATTGTGAGCACAAAGAACCATCTAGGTTTGTTTAGAAAATGATCTTTGAACTTAACACTTTTCTCTCCAGGCAAATTCTAGCATAAGTGAGGAAATACACAAGCAAGATAATTATCGATAGATTTCTAAATTTGTTCAAGGTGAAATTCCATTGCTTTTATGGTATTTAAGAGGAGAAGTGCGTCAAAAAAGCACATGGGACAGAGACAAAGACAGACCTACGCATAAAATAGAGGATAACTCTGATAATAATTATTATGAAACAAAATAAATAAAATATCCAATGAGAGCAGAATTTGATGGCATTGGAGCAGAAAGAGGCAAAAAAATGCAAATTAAAATAGTCTTTATTAGAAAAAGGAATGCATCTATACAGGACTTGTTTGGGTAACCTACACAGAGGAGTTAATGGGAGTTAATGGGAACACCAACCCCTAGAGATAAGTAATGAGAGAAACTCAGTCACCAGAATAAACTAGTAAGAGCCCCAGGCGCTAGCACTCCTCAGAATCTCAGAATGTTAAGAATGCATACAAAATTTAAGATTATGCTAGCTATGTGTCTGAAGACGATGAAAAACAAAGAAGCAACCCATAAATTGATTGAAGATATTAAGATACATATACAAATCTAACTAGGTATAAATGGAAACATCCCAATTAAACCAAAACTATATCTATATCAGACACCTGCAAATATATCTTTAGAATACAAACAGTGACAGGGAAATAGACCACTGAAGAGGAAAGATTCAATGGAAAGAAAGCCATGTAAGTAAGACAGGAGGCACAAAGTTTCATGAAGAAAACAAAAGGAAAACCGCAAGATTGTCCCAAAACAAAGGGAAGGGAACATGGGAGGGAAAATACTCGCCTCCTGTCATTACTAAAATGAAGATTATAACTCCACTAAAGTTAGCATAATCTTAAATTTTACAACATGACAGGAGGCTTCATATTTTGTATTTTTAACGCTGAGAAAAGGCCGCATTAGATCCCGTCCAAAAATAAAAAGTTTGAAATGTGGTCTCAAGAGACCAGTCCGCCGCTTGTAAGATATCAAACAGCGACAGCGATGCACCCGCAGAGAAAGCCAACAAAGCAGCCGTGCCTCACACGGAATGAGCGAACAAGACACCCACACCCGAGACAAAACCCATCTGATTCATCTGGCGAGTGTGGTAACAGACACGGGATTATAAGGTCTAACGTAAGACACCAGTAACTGTAGAGAGGCAGAGGATTTTAGTGGAGAGGTAACTTCTACATAACTCTGTAAGGCCGATATAACACACAACTGAGGGTCGTAGATGAAAAAGGGATAAAAGACCGACGTCGAGTTCAGTGCGACGGGAAACACAAAAAGTGACCTCTTTGAGATACCGAAAAAGCATTAACATCAAATGCCTGTACATTCAAAACTCGCCGGAAGGAGACGAGGCAAAGCAAAACCGCAAACTTGGCCGAAAGTTGTCGAATTAAAAAGCCTGTCACTAGGAGGCCAATCACGTAAAAAATGGAGGACGATTTCAACGTCCCAAAAACGTGAGTATTTGGGACCCAGGGGTCATTGAAGGCGAATACCCCTCAGTAAGTGACATACTAGCGGGTCTTTACCCACCAGAACCCCTGAAATGGGATGTGTGCAGCCGAAATTGCAGAATGCACAACATTAATCGATCGATAGGATTAACCTGAAGAAAAAAGGGAAGATATAACATTTAAAATGGATGACATAGAGGCAGTAAACGGATTGAGGTTCCGTTCCATGCACCAAGCGGACCAGAAGGCCGACACAAAGAGATAACATTGTCTCATCCGTAGTGCCCATAAATCCCAAAGGAGGTCTCTAGCAGCCTATGATAGTTCGCCAATCTGCCAGGCACCCCGGAAAGAGCCAAAGCCACCAGGGGTACATGATCGTCAAAGAGCAACGAGTGAGGATTCCCCTTCAGATCCGTGAGGTGAGTCGGATAAGACGTTAGTAGGAGAGGAGGACATAGCGGGAGTGGTGGGGCCTGGAGGCTCTATTATGTTTCGCATTTGCCGTCATCACTTTAGAAAGTGCTTTCCCCATAGACGCGGCTACAGCTGCATTAATCATGGCTTGGAAGTCCGCAGGAGTGCTCTGGGAATCTTCCATGATACAAGGTAGGGCAGGGACTCTAAAAGGCAACGCGGCACAGGGCGAGTGGCAGGCATGGGGTTAAAGCTGTAGGCTTCAGTCTCACTATATCAGTGACAGTACCACTATATTTGTGTCATTAGTACTAATGATAAAAACCCCAGCAGGGTACAAAAACCAAAGATTGGTATTTGGGCCTCACCCAGTTATCAGCAGCACAAATTGAAAGGGGCTTCACCCCAGATGATTCCCCAGGGTATTAAGCCCTATAGTGCGGGCAACAGCTGTCAGAAAGATACACACAGGAACCCTTGCAAGAATTTACATGGAAAAGAATATTTTTTTTAGGACCCCTGCCAGCAGAATCCAGAAGGTATACAGTAGTTCCTGTTTAGCAGCCTGGAACAGCTCCCTAGACTAGAAGGTAGGTAACCAGCACTCAAAGGGTGATAGTAGCAGGGTGAGAGAGCCAGATGTGGCACTCGCATGGCAAACTAAAGATGCATCCGAGGGTCTCACGATACGCGAGCTCCAAGATGGCCGCCACCACAGGAACTGGATGCACGGCCCCTTTAAAACTGTGTCCCCAGATTGTGACAATACTCTGTTCGTGGCTTTTTCCCATATGGTTCGGTAAATGGGGCTTACCGAACCAATTACCGAAGAGGCGGACCACACACAAGTGGAAGTGTGCAGCCTATTTACCTCCCAGGCTAGTGGTTAACCGCAGGTTAATTGCCAACCGCTGGGTGGCCTCCGTTCGTACAGTCGAACACGTGGCGTCGGCCATCTTTGTTTAGTCGAACGCGGTCAGCTGTGTTTTGCCTTTGAACTCATGGAACTGAAAACGGCTACACAACGGCACGAACACCGCTGACCCTTACCTTCACCTCCACTTCAACACTTCGACTGAAATCGAAGTGCGTTCGATGATCGAACACCATGTTAGAATGGGCGCCCTGTTCGTGCATTCGAACGGGACTTAGTCATTTTTTTTTGTGTAAAATAGATCAACCACACAACCCAAATCTATGGAACTGTTTTGGGCAGGAAAGCCATGCTTGCGGTCGGTCAAGTAGGACTTCCACCTAACTTTTGAACCACTGGACCAAATTGAATGATTTTTGGATATGTTTGTATATGGAATATACTGATTCAAAATATGTAAATTTTATGGGAATTGTATGTATGGTTTGGAAGTTATGGATATTGTATAAAACTGCATATAGGGGAGGGTTTGTGTGCCTTGGCTGGTAGTGTCTGACTGTACTGTAATGTGTTTGATTGGTTGTTGTAACTGCATGTCCTGTATCCCATAAGGTCCACGTGGGTGGTAACATTGTGGGAAAACCTGCATAAAAGAAAGTCCTGTGTGCTCATTAAAACAGATCTACTTGACCCTCTAACTCGCAGCCTCGACTCGTGTTTGTAGGGGACAGCTATAATCACTACAGGG